GCAACGGATATACATACATATTATAGATAGATAGATATATAAATACATATTTAAACACCCAAGACCTAAGCACAACAACAAATGCTCATCACATCGATGTTTGTCTCAGCCGGGGATCGAACCCGGGACCCATGGATTCGCAGTCAGGGGTACTAACCACTAGACCAATGAGCCGTCTAAATGTTTAATGTGTTAATGTTTTACAGCGATGTGTGCAGAAAATCTCGACGACTTAAGTCATGGTATAGAATGGGCGAAGGCCTCAGTGCAGGCTGGAGGGGGAGAACGAGCTGGTGCTCTTCTGGCTAAGCTGCTTAAAGAAAATGGCGATGAAGAAGATGCCTTAGCGGTCTACGATGACGTATTAGCGTAAGATCATGAACCACGACAAGAGAGTTTCATCTTGTTTTTTTTTTAATTTAACAATTATCCACATAAGCTTTGTCTTCCAAAAATATGTTTTATATATTTGATTCAATCATTTAAGATGCTAAAATTCGAACAGAGACGGAACATAAAGGAAACTTTTACAGTGAATCGGTACGTGACGTCTACTGTGTTTCACTTAGGTTTAAACTGTGAATTTATGTTTTTATCTATGTTTCTTGAACAATTTATTTAGTAATTCTTTCATTTAAAATGTTGTATTTGTATTTTTTTAATGGAAGGTGTACTTCATTACCATGACGTTTTTGTAAGCAAGATTATTTACTTTTTTAAAGTAACTTCCGTTACCAATAAATAAATAAACTATTTTCCACATCTGTCTTGCAGGTTAAACGCTTGCGGAGCTGATACGCTCGCTGCAGCCGGAGCATTGCGACTACGTTGTGGGGACCCACGACGAGCGTTTCAATTGCTTGGTGAAGCACTATCTCAACAGCCAACGCAGCACGCAGCCGCTCTTGCATTGGCTGCTATGATGTTGCAACATAAGGATGTCGATGCGTCCTTAGCAAGATTAAAAGCTGCCTTAACTGCTCATCCTACATGTGTGGCAGCTCACACCGATCTGGGACTAGCGTTGTTGTCCAAAAAGAAATATGTTGCGGTTAGCATCTATGTTTGAATTGATTCGATTGGCGCGTTTTGTTTGATTGTGATTGGTCAAATGGATAGTCGGCGCAACGCGTCTTTGTTTCCTCTCATGTTATACTTCCCAGAAAATACAATTTTATTTAATTGGTAATTTTATCTAATATACTAATTCCAGGCATTAACGTGCCTTCAACGGGCTGTGTGGGCAGCTCCACTTAGTGCTCGAGCTGCTCACGATCTTGGACTAGTGCTTCTTATATGCAAGCGACCAGCGTCGGCATTTAATAGACTTGCTGCTGCTGCTGCTTTGCAACCATCACAGCCATACACTGTAACTATTTGCCCATATTATTAATTGGTTTTATTATACTTCGAAATTATTTTACTTTTGAGACACTTTACTTTTCGTCAAAAAACTTAGTCTCGGGGATCAGCCGATAAATTATTTGTATAATCTGTTTTTAATGTTTATTGATTTAAGAATCTTCAACATCGTGATAAGGTTCCGAAATGAGACTTAGCGCTAAGTATGACTTTCGTATGTCAAAAACTTAGTTCCTGCTATTTTTTTTAAATTATAACTTCAGAGTTCTCTCTGAAGTTATAATTTAAAAAAAAATCTTTAAAACTAGTTTCTGTTTTCGACACATTTTTAATATGCCAATCAAAAGCTTGAATATATTACCATAATAGTGTTAATTGGTGACTTTCAAATAATAATAATAAAATAATGTTTATAGGTACTCCTTATTGCTATAGCGTTAGAGCGTCTTGAAGATCCAAGAGCAGATGCTGCCTACGCCAAGGCAGTATCCCTTGACCCTGAAGATGCGCTCATTCGGTTAAATAACGCTGCAAGACACGCTCGAGCGGGTCGATGTACTGAAGCTGCCCAAGAAGCTGTTTTAACGGCTCAATTATTAAGACGAGAAAATAATCTACAGGTACGGAGAATGCCATCCCGTATCCAATGGATATTCATTTAGGCGTATTTCTGCATCTGTCCATGTGCCATTTTTACATATTTTTCTCCGGAAATACCTAGAACTGTGGGATACTTCACCTGCGTGAATTACGCAGATAATTCGTGTTCGTACGAGGCAAATGGAAAAATTGTGAATATCTTGTCGCATACTGGGGACGAATTCTGAAAGAAATAAATGATAGCAAATAGGGGGTATCTATCAGCCCATTAATAGCATGCAAAAATAATAAATCTTTGCTTATAAATTCGAAAATATTTTATTCTTTAATATCCTTTAGCCAGTGGCGTAACAATAGGGTGGCAGTGATGGCAAAATGCCACGGGTCCCCTGCTCAAGAGATATTATGTTCTATGGATGAATGTGAAGTCTCCAATTCGCATTGGGCTAGCGTGGGATCTACAGACCATCCCCTCTCGCCTAAGAGAGGAGGCCTATGGCCATGACTGGGACATATACAACGTGTGATTGAGTACGCTGAAAATCTCGAAGTTTATTTAAATTTAACTGAGTAGTACAACGTGACGATTTTTACTGATAGAGCCCCATCAAAAGAATTTGCCACGGGCACCAGATGGTATAGTTACGCCACTGCCTTTAGCAAAAGGATTAAAGTGCTCTAATTGGAGTATAACATTACCATGTAAAAACTAAGAAAGAACAGTGTCTCAAAGCCTTAGCACATAAGCTCAGATAGTTTTTTTTAGTTGGCGGCATCCTTAGCTCTGCTGATGTCACTGCTTCGGGAAGCAGGAGTTGAGCTTTCCACGGACGCTATCGAAAACACTCTAAACCCCACCACTACTACCACCAGCTCTCCTGATAACGAAGATTTTGCGGCTGATGAAGTTTAAGCAAAGCACAACAAAAAATAACATACGCGTCGAAATGTAATGTCCGCGTTCGTTTTAAAATCGTTTAAAATATACATTTTATAGGAAAAAGTAATCGAATTTTATTTTTATGTCATGAGTAAGAGATAAGCACAGTACGTACATAATGGCGTCCTTTTATTACAAGTTTTCAAACACTTTGTATCTACTGGTACATCACTATCACCAAAGCCTATTCTTTGTAGGAATACCGATAACCACGCTCTTTATGAACATATTGCAAACTCTTTCGAAATTTTATAAACTGCCAGTTGTAATTTTATATCACTACGGATAGTGTATAAAACCAAAGAGTTAACTTTTATTCAGTTTACACTGTTTATGTTATGGAATATTGCTCCATATTGTAAATGTTTCACCTAAGAGAAATATTATGTATTTTATTTTCATCGAAAATTCTTTTTAGTTTGGTAAGTTACATTCTAGCGATTTTATTATTATTTTTTACTATCATTTACAACTTTAAATTTAATTTAGGCCAATAATCAAGTCGCCCAACAACGTGAAGCTAGTCTTATTGTACTTCCTCCGATTATATTGGGATATGACGAGTTCTACGATGACGGATCAAAAGATAAATCCAGTAGAGAACACGATAAATCAAGTCACGAAAAAGAAAAATCTGTAGCCAGTAGTGAAGATAAAAATGACAAAAGTAAAAATACCCAAGATCATCATGGAAATAACAACCATAATGGCCATAACCATAATTCTCAGGAAAAAAATGATAACGATCGTTCCCATGATGGTCATCGTCCTAAGAGTAAGGAAAACGGTGATAAAAATGTTGGAGAACGATCTCATAAGTTATCACATAAAATTAAATGTCGTTCTAGAAGTGGTAAATTAAATGGAAAATCTTGCCCCTTTAAGAAGAAAGAATAATAATTATTATATGGCTTAATTGGGCCAGAATTAATATTCATTATGAGTTCTGCATTTTTGGAGAACCGTCGTAGGATTGGAGGTTGCAGCAGTTTCCAACCCAAATTACTTTTCTGTTATGTTGACCACACCGTTATATATATATAGTTCGATTCTAAACATACCTATTATATAGTTCGCGTAACCTCTACTTTCTACTACTTTACTATTTCTTTCCTCATAGACTCTATTCAGATATACAAAATTCTTATCCTAATTAAAATGTGAAAAGTTGGCATCACTGAACACAGTCTGAAGTCTGAACTCTGAAGCATGATTTGATTTTATTTGTCAGCATCAAATGTCAATATAGATTTGTCATTTATCACTTGGTTTGTTAGTTTGAAAGATTTTGAAAGTCACATTTAGGTATACAATTTTGTTGTTACTTGTGTCTTGTACATCTTGAATTTTGTTATTTATAATATTTTTATTCCAATGTTTCGATAAAAAAACTGACGAGATTTGAAATAGTAATATATAGTTGCAAACGAGATATTATGAGTATTTTATCAAAATTTCTGGGTGAATTTATTAATATTATGTTTAAATAATCATGTAAAAATGAATTAAAAGTTTGATCTCTAAATTTAACCTAAAGCCGGCTACAAATAGTTTTGCATTTTGTCATCATGACTACAATTAAGTGTAAGTACATACTTTAATTTTTAATGATTTTGATTGAAACATGTTAAGTTAAAAAAAAGTGTTGTATGATTTTAATTCCTTTAGCAAACCTTGAATGTTTACTTCGCATGCAAACTGCTAATTGTGTAACATATAATTTAGGTGCTTGTGTAAAATAACCTTGCCATTATATTTGGTAGGATATAAACATTATTTTTAAACCTAAAAGTATTCTTTTAATACAACTATTCTCTATACTGTTTTAAAGAAGAACCTGTAATTCTTTATATTACCACAATACATATAGTTTATTGTAAACTTTTTTTAATTATAATGGAATAATTGTGTGTTACTATTGTAATGTAAATAGGTATGTAAAAACAAGACTTACTAGGCTTAAAAAATCTAAATCTTAAAATGTTACATATATTATTCCCTTTAAAAATTTTCCTGATTGTAATTTCCTCTTGGAAAAATAATTTTCAAACAAATCTATCCAACATTCTTTAATTTTTTTCAACATCAAGTTGAGTCAGACAATTGTATCTACTTTGTTATCCAACATTTAGTTAGTATTTTATCAAAAGGAAAGATCTTGAGAAATTAAATTGAGTACACTACTTTATTGCTTTGTATGTATTATTGTATGTTTAACAAAATCATTCAATCGGATTACTCAAGATTTTTAAATATTCTGAATATTTATTTTGGATATCATAATAGGTAAACTTTAGGCTAGAGATGAAGATAATACACTAGAAATCATGAAATTATCACTTTGTTCACCTTGTTTTATTTAACTGAAATGTCAGTCAATTTTGTATTTACAATTGATCAACAGTAAGAATACTCTATTGAGGCTAATACAGCCCAGTGACATATCACTAGAAATATAGAATCAAGAACATTAGAGTAGATAATCCTGTAATACACGATAACCTTTGGTTATACAAGTACACCATCATAGCTGATGGTGTACTTGTATCAGATACTGATATCCATTTTTATTTATTAATTATATACACATTTTATGGTACTCAATTATCTGTGACCTGTCTGTGTGTGAGTTATTTAAGTTTAATAACCATTATAATTAATATAAAAAAATATTACAATAATAAGCAAAACAAAGCCCTGAAACCCCTATAGTATTTTTTTGAAATTTCGAGAAATTTTAAAAACTAATTAGTGTATATATAAACAATAATAATAATTCCGGAATATTCTAAATCATCCCTTAAGCTAAAATCCCAGAACATTACAAAACTACGAACTTTTGATAACATATTCATTGAGTAACATAAAACTTGTACGATTGAAATCGGGGGCGAATATTGATCAGGGGTTGTAGTGCGCTTGTGTGCGCGCACCCCTCTCACTGACATAGAGTTGCGCGCCAATGTGCGTGCCGGCACCGTCCATGTGCGGAACACCCAAATTGTTTTCACATTACTATTACGAACATAAATGCCCTTTAGTCGTATAATAGTATTTATCTCTCTCACCGCGGTCTAAATGTAGTTACGGAACGTAATCTACATCATTTGTGTGACTTGTAGGAAGATACAAGTGCCGCCGGCCGCGATGGCACCGCAAAAATCAATATAGTTCTCGCGTATTGCATTAAATGTCTTCAGTCAATGTTACTTATGTATGCCGTGCAGTGATCGCCAGTGTACTTGCATTTCAGTGGGTCCCAAGGGTCGCTAAGGATCCTGATGTTTAATCACAAGTTACCAACTGACTTTCCAATGCAAACCCTCCGTAAGAAAACCAGCCCTTGCAAATGTGAGTCTTTGCTGTGTTAATGCTTTTCCGGTATTAAAGATTGCGGTGTTTAGATAGAGCTGTGTACATTAAAGCATCCCCGGCTTCGTGATTTGTATATTTTGCGTATTTATTAATTTCGACTGCATGGTTCGATTATGACATTCACCATACTAACCGTGTCAAGTCACTCGTGCTGTTTGCTAGACCCATATCATAATTAGTGAACCCTGGTTTTGAACAGAGGGTGTGTTTGGGCCCAGCGGTGCAGAGCAGCAGCAAGCTACCTTTACTTTAGAATTTCGGAATAATGCAGGTGTGTCATTTCCAGCACCTCTTACGCCAATTCGGTGAGTATCGCGACATTTTGCACTTCACGCTTATAGTAGTTAGTTATTTCCTTTTCCTCTTCAGTTAATACATACTTTATAAATAGTGATGAAGCGATACGGTTCGTAATGTTTGAACAGAGAGTATTCTCTTTATCTGATAAGTCAATGTTAGGCAAAGAACAACGCATATATATTATTATTGCTACTTCAGTTACTGTTTTGTTCTTTAAATTAGAATACATATCTTAAATAAACATAATTAGATAGATATTCAACCGTAAGAAATTTATAAAATTTTGTGGAAGTTTAAATTTTTCTACGTAATTAGTTCAGTTTATACATTAATAATTATATTTTATGACATAAAAAACCCTGTAAGCGTTGATTAATGTCTTACTTGTATGATTAATTTATTATATTTATCAATTTGTCCTTCCTTGGTCAGTCACATATGAAGGTTCAAAACAAAGCAACACCCAAAGTCCTACACATACTATATTTTTGGAGTCCTTCCTAAATAAAAAAGCGTATTATTCTTATATAAACAATTTAACATACTAGATGTTATATTTTATTTTTATGACCAAAGTCATGTTTTTAAAAGTTGTGTTATAACACATGAATATGTCAAAAAATCTACAAGTTTTATTACCGTTTCTCGGTATTAATTTTAATAATCAAAAATTTTTGTGATTACATTTTTGCGTCTATTGTATTCCTATTCTATAAATTTTCTGTTCACCTGATTTTAATCTTAGTATCGGCTCTTAGGCATGCCGGTTTGCTCAGGGAATAATCGGTGCGCTGGATTTAAACTTCTAACCCACGACTTCAGTGTTGCTAGTCGCACCAACTAACGAGAGGTTAGGCTTCAAAAATAAAGTTAATGCTGTTCATATATAAATAAATGTTGAATGCCTTTATCATGTGTTTAAAATTATTTGATAACGATTCCGTCAAAAGAAGCGATAAGATCCGACATGACTGATAGACCACCATCATTGTTAGCTGTACGTGTACGCAATAACTCAATGCTTTAGACAATAACTTATTGCAAAACGAGACTAAGGTATCTTAATAATATAATTATAAAAATTACCTTTAATATTAAAACAAATATACATTTAATTTGAAAATGCTGCAAATTATGTTATTTTATTCAATATAACGAGACACGTAATATCGCTTATAAATCACATGTCAATGAGTGGAGAGAAATTGTTTTGTTTTAGTTTATAGAATTAAAAATCGGAAGTTAGATGAAAGGATGTCTGTTTAATATACTAAATATAATCGAAGATCTATTTGTCCCCACAAGTTTTTAAAATTCAGTATTTCATTTATTTAATCGTCGGAATACTACTCGCAAGGCGATGATAATAATTATTTATAGAATCAGTTCAAGTTAACCCTCGTGTTAGGTTAGCACTATACATTATACTAATGAAGACATTAAACTTGCGTCTTAAGTTTAATTATGTACATTTCTAAGGCTTCATTGCATACTACAGAAAATGTGGGAAGGGCAATAAATAACCATGGGTTCGGTTTCATTCACTAATACTAAAGGCGAGGGGGTTATTTATGTTAAGCTTATAATAAAAATACAATAAAGAAAACATTTGCCTGCATTTTTCATCCCTTACATCTTAATCAATGTATCATTATCAGGTTGGAAGCCACAACCATAAGGAAATTGTATTATCTTCTATTACATATATAAAATTCTCGTGTCACAATGTTCGTTCCCATACTCCTCTGAAACGGCTCGACCGATTCTTATGATATTTTTAATGCATATTCAGTAAGTCTGATAATCGGCTACTATCTATCTTTCAAACCTCTACGTGAAAAGGGGTGTCCACCCCAAAAATAATCTTTTTATTTTTTGGTAAATTTTTTTTGTTTTATTATTTTATTATGTGGCATTAAAAAATTCATACAACCCTAAATTTTTATCCCTCTACGATCAACCCCTATTTTTTATTTGTAAATTAAATTGTAATGACCTGAACTCTGAGGTTTATATAGAGAAAAATTCACTGAAAACCTAAAAAGTTTTCATTCCGGAAAACCGAACAGTCTCTGGGGGTAGCATAGCAAAATGTTCCATGTTGATAGATACTAAAAGGTAGGCTAAGTAAAATCACATTAAGGAGTAACGAAGTTCGCGGGGGCAGCTAGTAATATTATAAAAAAACAGCGTTCAATGGCAACACTGTCCATTGGTGCAGC